GTTTTATTTCATAGTTTTAGAAAGTGTTTAAATAAAAGTGTTCATGGAGCTGTCCGTGTCCCTTGCTGTCATTCAGTTGACACACTCATCAAATGTGTCACAGAATCAATTTAAGTAATTAATCAATCTAACCAGCCGAGTTTCTCAGGGCTTCCTGCATCTAGGGAGAAAGAACTGCCATCATACCTATAGGCTGGGGGGCGACCTTCTCAGCACCACTGAGGCAGAAAGAGATCTTGGAGTCACTGTTGACTCTGGGATGAATACGAGCTGGCAATGTGAGGAAGTAGTAGGCAGAGCCAATCGCACCTTGCCGTGCATCCGTAGGTGCTTCACACACAGGTCCAGGAAGATGATTCTCCCTTTCTACGTGGCACTGGTCAGACCACAGCTGGAGTACTGGGTCTAGTTCTGGACGCTGCAGCTCAAGCAGGATGCGGACAAGCTGGAGGGGGTCCAAAGAAGAGCCACTCGCCTGATTGGAGGCCTGCAGGGAAGGTCCTACGAGGAAAGGCTGAGGGACCTTAACCTCTTCAGCCTTTCCAAGAGAAGGCTGAGAGGGGACCTTGTGACGGCGTACAAATTCATAAGGGGAGAGCAACTTGCAGTAGGCGACGATCTGTTTACCAGGGTACCCCTTTGAACAACAAGGAACAATGGCCATAAGCTACTGGAATGTAGGTTTAGACTGGACATGAGAAAAAAGTTCTTCACGGTGAGGGTTGCCAGGATCCCAGGGGAGGCACACCCAGGCCTAGGGTCAGTGAGGATCTAGTCAGGGAACTTCTGGTGGGACTGGACGTATTTAAAACAGCTGGTCCTGAAGATCTCCACCCCAGAGTGCTGAGGGAATTAGCAGAGGTCATTGTGGGACCCCTTGCATGGATTTACAAGCACTCATGGTGCTCTGGTGTGGTGCCAGAGGCCTGGAAAAGGGCCAATGTGGTTCCCATTTTCAAAAAAGGGAGGAAGGAGGACCCAGGAAACTATAAGCCAGTTAGTCTTACCTCGATCCTGGGTAAGCTTTTTGAGAGAATTATCCTGGCGCATGTCCATGAGGGGCCAGCAGGGGAGATTATGCTTAGGGGTAATCAACATGGGTTCATTAGAGGCAGGTCCTGTCAGACCAACCTGGTGGCCTTCTATGACCAGGTTACAAAATCCTTAGACGCAGGTGTAGCAGTGAACGTAGTCTTTCTGGAGTTTAGGAAGGCCTTCGACACTGTCTCCCACCCCATTCTCATTGAAAAACTAGGGGACTGTGGCGTCGACACCTACACAGTCAGATGGGTCACTAACTGGCTGGAGGGCCGCACCCAGAGAGTGGTAGTGGACGGGTCTTATTCAACCTGGAGGGACGTGGGCAGTGGGGCTCCTCAGGGCTCGGTCCTCGGGCCTGCACTGTTCAACATCTTCATCAGCGACTTAGACAAGGGGGGGAAAAGCACCCTGTTCAAATTCGCAGAGGACACTAAGTTGTGGGGGGAGGTGGGCACGCTAGAAGGGAGGAATAGGCTGCAATTGGACCTAGACAGGTTACAGGGGTGGGCGGATGAAAACAGGATGGGTTTCAACACTGACAAGTGCAAGGTGCTGCACCTGGGGAGGGAGAACCAGCAGCAGTCCTACAGACTGGGGAACTCCCTTCTCGTCAGTGCAGAGGCAGAAAAGTATCTTGGTGACATTATTGACGCCAAAATGAACATAGGTCAACAGTGTGGGGACGCAGTCAGGAAGGCCAACCACACCTTGTCATGCATCCACAGATGTATCTCAAGCAGGTCCAAGGAGGTGATCCTCCTCCTCTATGCAACACTGGTCAGGCCACAGGTGGAGTACTGCATCCAGTTCTGGGCTCCACACTTGAGGAGGGATGTGGACAACATGGAGAGGGTCCAGAGGAGGGCCACGCGCATGATCAGGGGGCAGCAGGGCAGGCCTTACGAGGAAAGGCTAAGGGACCTGAACCTGTTCAGCCTCCACAAAAGAAGGCTGAGGGGCGATCTAGTGGCTGTTTACAAACTAGTCAGAGGGGACCAGCAGGCATTGGTGGAGTCCCTGTTCCCCCAAGCACACCCAGGAGTGACAAGAAATAACGGTCACAACCTGGCAGAGAGTAGATTCAGGCTAGATATCAGGAGGCGCTACTTCACTGTCAGGGCGGCTAGGATCTGGAACCAACTTCCAAGAGAAGTGGTACTGGCTCCTACCCTGGGGGACTTTAAGAGGAAGCTAGAAGAACACCTTGCTGCGGTCGTTTGACCCCAGTACTCCTTCCTGCCATGGCAGGGGTCGGACTTGGTCTGCTCAGGTCCCTTCCGACCCTACCAACTATGAAACTATGGAATGGGCTTCCAAGGGAGGTGGTGCTTGCCCCATCCTTGGGGGTCTTCAAGAGGAGACTGGAGAGGCAGCTGGCTGGGATCACATGATCCCAGGTTTGGTGACCCTTTTCTTGCCTGCCTGGTGCGGGGTGTCGGACAAGATGGCCCACTGAGGTACCTTCTGACCCTTGAATCTATGAATCAAGTAAATTATCAAAAAAAATGAACCCAAAATTCAATCAAATTTTCAACTACAAAATTAATCAAATCATCTAATAATCAAGATCATGATCAGTCTAATACTGCATGAGAAACCAATCAAAAATCAAATAATCGATCAAATAATAAATCTAATAAACAAATTATCAATCAAAAAATCAAATAATGAATCAAATAATCCTAGTACTCAGCTTCCCTTCTTCACAGCATCTTAATTGACATCCATACGTGTCATCATAAGTGCTTCAATCTAAAATTTGAATTCAGACTGATTTACAATTTTAAATCAACTATAAAATGAAAAAATTACAGCAATTTATCAATCAGAAAATCTAATCAATCAAATAATCAATTTAAGTAATGAAACAATCTAACCAACTGAGTTTCTCAGGGCCTGCTTACACACACACACACACACACACAATATACTAATATTATAATATATTTATATATATATAT